CTAATTGTCAGCATTGGGCCCTGGGTATCCCCTGGTCTGAAACCTGATTGGGGGTTCCAGCTGATTATCTCTATCAGGATATGGGCTTGCCAGGACCTGGCAGCTCAAAGAATCATGTCCCGCAGCTCTCTATCTTTAAGACTCTTTGAGGTGCTAGGTCTTGTGAACCTAAGGGCATGGGGCAGCTCCAGGCTCTAGCATACAGCCCTCCCCTACCTGGTTGTCAGGATCAGGGGGGCAGCCCTGGGTCTGAACTGGGACTGGGGCTGCCTGGTGCTGAATCCTGGTGCTTAGCTGAGCATCACTGTCCAGCATTGGTCAGGGCTAGGGTCCAGAACAAAGCTGCTCTGTGCCCAATTGGTGGAACTGGGCTTGGGGTTCATACAGGTCCTTGAACCTGCTGCCCCCCTGCTCTATCACTGGAGGATGTTGTCTGGCAGTTGGCAGTCACACAGTTACGGTCAGAGGAATTGTATGCACCATTCCCAAAGTTGCAAGATCTATCATATGACATAGTAGGTAGCATGTAGCATGGTAGGTAGCATGGTAGGTAGCATGATTTGGAGCATGGGACATAGCATTCCTCAGACACCAGTCATGTAACTGCCTTAATGTCTGACAGTATCCTGAGAGGCCCTGACTGCACTGGCTGCAGCACTGGATGAGACTACTCAAGTAAACAAGGACACTCAGCGACAAACTTTCAAAAGGCTTCCATTACAAGTCCTGTAAAAGTGGTTGCATTTCCAGAGGCCGCCTGAAAATTTTGCTCTGAGGTTCCAAATGATTCTAGGTTATTTTGGGTTTTTGTATTAATTTAGGTCCCCTCTATATGTTACATTTAAGTTGCAATTAACATGTTAATCGCAGCATAAATGGGAAGGGTTGATATACATGCACCCAATTTAAGGTACCATAAATGGCAAGCCAGCCATAAAAAGGTTCCACATATGATGCAGAATATTTTTATGGCTGGTTTGCATAGTGTCTTAAATTGAACACGTGGCATGTCTGAGGCTGCCCCAGGGCGAGTGCCAGCAACCAGCTAACTGTCAGCCCTGGCCCTGGAACTGCATTAGGTCACACTGTGCTGCAGCCTCCTTACTTTCAGCTTGCTGATGGACGGGGAGCCTGAGATCATGATCCCAGACTGGCAAGCAGAAAGGACATGATTGGGATCTGATCCCTGATTCTAAAATTGTGCCTCCTGCCATGCATGTATGGCATGGCAAGAGGTGTGATTGTTGGGATCAGGGCCTATATTCCATAGTACCTTTAAAAGAACATGTGTAAGGACCTTAGGGACAGAGTCAGATACCCTCAGTCACACCCAGCAGTTGTTTACCATGAGAATACTTGCACTGATTTCAGTGGAACTGTTTATGGAATCTGGTACAACTCAGTGTAAGGCATTCAGAAAATCAGTGTTTTTGTTTTGCTTTTTCATGCCAGAGAGGGCAAATAGACGGATAAAATGGCCTTTTCCCGTCCTTGTTTTGTGAAGCTGAGAGCGCCTAATACAGATGATAATTTCTGAGATGGGTGACTGTGGTCCAAGCAGTTACTTATCTGTAAACACAGATATGTTAATTGGATGGTTTCATTGTTTCCTCAGTCTGGACCCTCTTATAACCAGTCCAACTGAACTGAATAACAGTACTTCTGTAAGCTGTCTAGCTTCTGTCACTGCCTTTTCAACTTCCAGCTTGCTTTTCATATTGTGCAGCAGGATAAATCAGAAATCAGTAGGTGGACTATTACTCTTTCAGTTCACTTAAATGCTTAAAAGTTGGGCATGTTCTACGTAGGTTTCTGTTCTGTAGTAACAGCTACTGCCAATGCTTGCATGCAAACAACATTCTTCTGTTATTGCTAACATGCTGGACTTTGGACCAAGAGTCAGTGTGTCTGACTACTATGTTAACCCTAGTAAAGGGGAAAGTAATTGCATATCAAGACTCTCGGAACTAAGATAATTTTTACCTTCATCAGAAAAATGTGAGTTTAGAAAGACAAACATAGTAAACAGTAGGTGCATCTACATGTGCATTTAAAGCAGAGTATTAAACTACAGAGCAGTTTGAGCCAGAGGAAACTACTCCCGAGCACAGTGTTTGCATGTGCGCCTAGGACAGCAGCAATTTGAGCTGGGGTGGAGCAGGTCCAGATTGGCAGGGGACACAGCTGGGGGGATCAGCCCCGAACTCTGGTGGGGGTGGTGGTGGAGGGGCTGGCTGGGGCATGAGAGTACTGAAAGTGCAGAGCCATGTGGCTAGGTGGCAGGCAGGAGTCTGGCCCCTGGCTGACTGGGCTGACCAGGCACAATTTACAGCTGCAGTCAGCATCTATGCATGTGTATAATCACAGTAAATTATCCCAGTGTAAGATAGTATTGTCCCCAACAGTACTATCTTACTGCTGTGTTAATTAGTTTATTGCAGCCTAATACCATCACACATGTAGATAGTGACACTTTACTCTGCAGATGATTAGTCTACTCCACAGTAAAGTGCATGTGTAGATGCAGCCAGTTAGTCTGAAAAGACCTGGTGGGAGAAGACTGGCCAAGGAACATTTCCTCTCCTGGTACAGTGACAAAGCCCATTCTCAGAATAGGAGAGAAGCACGTGAATAGGAGCAAGGTCTTTTTTCTTTTCTTTTTTTCTTCGAGTTCTCTAAAGATGCTGGTCACATTCTTAAAGTGCTGTGACAAATCATCCTCAAAAGTCAAACAATTCTCTTTTCACTAACAGTTCTAAGCAACGTGTAAGATGAACATTAGGCCATTTTGCGATGAATCCCTTACAAATTCGTACGTCATGACTTTTATAGTTTGTGGTTTTACAGCACATATCACATGCTGCATAATTCCAACAAGTGGCTCTCTGTTTCAAAGAAACACCTCACTTCCAAGTGGTGCTTGAAGTTATGCATTTTCAGAAGTGAAGAGGAAATCTGTGCGCTCTACAGCCGGGAAGATTTTATGAGGCGGAAGATAATGGCCCAGATAGAAAGAGAAACTCCATAAAGTTACCCTCATAAAGTTTTTCCTCAGATTCTCCATTGGGAGTGTCAGATAGAGAAGACAGCCCCACACAGCAGAAGCCAGTGGGTTAGGGCACAAATCCCACTATGATCCCCTGAACCCTGGGAACTGTTGCATGTCTAGGGCCAACCAGCTACCTTAGTAACTCTGCCCCAGTTGCCATCCTCTTGTTGCGACTGGAATCAGGTCTTTTTTTAAGGGCACTCCCAAGCATAGAGGGACTCTTCAGGAAAGCTAATACAGCCTTTAAGTCATGCCAGATAGCCATCCACTCTCCATAAATTTCTTGGAATGGGGGAAGGGGCCACAGAAACAGCTGGGGAGATCAGTGACGCAGATCTGGAGGAGATGGGGTACAAGCCCCTGTACCAGGTCCCTAGAACTTCAATTGCTGAAAAACATTTTTATTCTGTCTGTGTACTCTTTAATCTATTAATCTGGGATGGAGTAAAATGCATTATGTAACTGCAAAATGCTGCAGTACACTTTTAAGTTTATTCTCATTTTTATACTGATAACCTGGCCCTGTGTTGTGTTTGCATTTCCCAAAGTATGGTATTTCATGGCACTATAGAGTTGTTTGTTAGATTAGTGTTTGACCTTCATCAGCAGCCTGTAATGACCTCTTCACTTCCCTCTCATAAAGGAGTTAAGGCAAATCACCTCTTCTTCTCTTTATGATCTGTCCTGGTAGTTACCATCTGACAGGCATTTAATATAATGGTCTCTGTTTTTCTTCATTTGGAGGCTGGAAATCTTGTTTTCCAAGAGTTTGTTACAAATCCAAAACAGCTGTTCAGATTTCTCCAGAGAAACAATGGGGTCATGTGTTTCATTGGAAAAAGATAATGCAAATGTAAAGAAAGTCCTGCGCTTTAGAGGGCCAAACAAATTCAAAAAGACCTTCACCCTACAAAATAAATGTCTAAAATGAGGCTCATGCAAGGCAAGTTTGAAGGTGGAAAGGAAAATTTCTTAGAATTGTCCTCTCAGCACCTTTTCCACGAGAGATCCTACTATTTCATCATTTGGAATTGTGCCATTCATTTCACTGGAGTAGGATCATTTCAAAGATGACAGGGAATGTCCTACTTGCCTATAAATCTCTATAGCAAAGTCAGGTAGTTGTGGTTCATCCTCTACTCACATTGAAGGTTTGTGCTTGCCTGTTAGCCGTAGGAGGACTCAAGGGCCTCTTCACAATTTGCCTAGAGATTATGATAGGCAAGCTGTGGAAACTAAGAAAAAAACACTCCTGTCCCACCAAGAAAGCAAGAGAGCATTATAATGTACTTTTACGTAACTACTAAAAACATTTCTCTGTAAACAGGAGTCACTGAATCACTGAGTCACGAAAAAGATCCTCAACTGCTGTAAATGATCATAACAACACTGAGTTCAAGACAGCTACCTCAATTTACACTAGCTAGAGATGTGGCCCTTTAACAGTAAATGAGCAGTAGAAGAGACTAATTTGTCTACTCTGTGCCAACCCAGGATCACCCCTGTAAAGTGCATTTTCTAATATTTCACTACATCTAACTTGGAAGCCCTCTTAGTGCAGAAATGATCTGTCCATGATCACCAGTTCAATATTAGATTCCTACTGCAGAGAGAGAGCATTCATTTCTAGAGTATATAATTACATCACTTTTAAAAAAATAGACTGCCTAAATTGTGCCTCCAGTTTGCACATTTTGTGTGTCCATATTTCACAGGCAAAGTTTAGGCTGCTGGTTTAAAAAATATGACTCTTACTGTGTACCAGAAGTAACTCTGACAAATAATAATTCCTGAATTCAATCTGTAACTGAAAAATACATATGCTGTTCCGTGGAAAATACTGTTTTATGGAGCAGAATGTTTTAAAAAGACTATTTGGCCATGTGTACTTCTGCTTAATTTCATCTGAACTTTTTGAATAACCTGTACTTAATTACCTCCTTTTTTGCAGGGCTCATACTTGTTTCAATCGTCTTGATCTTCCCCCTTACCCATCCTTCTCCATGCTGTATGAGAAACTGTTGACAGCAGTTGAAGAGACAAGTACTTTTGGACTTGAGTGATGAGCAAACCATAGTGCCCAGCTTCTCGGACCTTTGTGGATCTGGCCTCTCAAAGAATGAATGAACGTTTTTATTTGATTTCCTAGAGGAAAATTGTTTTACAATGCAGTTCAAGTAATGAGATCCTATGAATGGGCTTACGAAGCAATTTACAAGCATTGTGACAGTGGCAGAGTATTCAGCAGTAAGATTGGAGCATGCCTGGTGTGCAGGGAGAACCTACAGTCTTGCAATCAACAGTTTTTTCTTGACTGCCAAACTTTTTACATTTATGTTTCAAGCAAAAGTTGTATCCACATATGATCAATAATGCGGTTACTGCAAGAACTGACAAAATTTATTTAAACTGAATTTCACCAAAGTCCTTGAAGGTAAAGTTCAAGTCAAAATGTGAAATCGTTCAGCCCACCACTAAATTAGCTAAGTCAAACAATAGAATTCTTTTTTAAAAGATTCCTAGAGGTACATTACTTTATGCCCTATACTATAATAGAATATCCATTACTTGCTATACCTAAGAGTATGACTGCCTGCATGGTGTGCACCATAGATGTCAGCTTTCTGGGGCAAATGCAAATTTGAAGAAATGTCAGCAACAAGCGATGTCTCAACAATGGCTTGCAATCAGGAGGTTTGTGAAAACGTATATGCAAGTGGCGTGTATATGGCAAAAGATGAGCTCTCATAAAATGAACTTAAAAATGACTGATTTTACGCTTCGTACTGCATGGAAACTGTTTTTAAAAAACTTGGCAATTTATCACAGCATATCAGGAAAAAAACACTTACACAGTGACTTCTGTTTATTTTTATAGGTTCATTATATTAAGTTCCTTAGAGTGTAAATAGGAAACTAGCAAACTATTTCTGTTCCTTTCACTTTCCATGCTTAAAACAGACATTGTGCTGGTGTTTATTCTTTATGCACTCTCAAGGAAAAAATGCCTTTTATTTTTATAAGGGTAAGAAATTCCCAAAAATATTTTGCACTGAATGTACCAAAGTTGAAGGGACATTATGATCTGACTGACAGAAAACTGCATCATTCTTACAAGTATCTAGAAAACAGCTTCTTAAGAACCGAGCTTCTTCACAGTGCCATGTCTGTAGATATCAGGACTGTGCACATAAGTAATAATTTTGTAAGACTCGCTGTATGTGGTATTTTAATATGCATTTGTTTTAAATGCATTTGATTCATTTTGCATCCATCAGGTAAACTTAAAGGTATGGAGTTTAATACAGATGTTTCATATTTTCCCTGCAACTTTTATTTGTACAGCACCATAAAACACTATAGCTTATTTGGAAAATCATGGGCAACACTTCCAGATTACACCTCTAATCGTAATGAAACCACTCTCCCTTATCAGTGACCACCTCCAAGATGTAAAATGTTCGTAGTGTCTTTCTAAACCTGCATTTTCACTGATAAGTATTTTTCTTATTGATGTTAATTAAAAAAGAATACTTTTGTATGGTATATCAAAAGATGCATGAATACACCAATTTAATTATGTTAAGTTTGCCACAGTGTATAAGGCTCATTTACATCCATTCCTCACAAGGACCTTTCATCTGACAGGCCTCTTAGTGTAGTTGTGTCTTTGCATTAGTTCTTGTACAGTCATTTATCATATTTCAAAACTTTTGATAATGAGTGGAATATCGGATAGTGGATGACCAGAACATGCATAGATCTTGCCATGTAATTCTATGGCATTGAGTCTTTGCAAAGTCTTGCTTTGTAAGAGAACTAGGTTTGGGGGTAACTTCAAGATTTCCACTCTGGGAACTCTTTGAGTGGGGGCCTCTGATTGATGACGTGCTTTTTTTCTATACTTACTCCTGTGGGAGTTCCCACACACTCAGGTGAATATTGGGATGGCAATAAAGATCCCTTCAGCAAACTCTGCTTTTCCACCCTGACAATGAGGAGGTAGGTGCTGTTGTGGTAGTCACAGCAGAGGGCTGAGGAATTCTGAGCCCCTCCAGAATGACAGAGGAAATAAGACCTGTGCTCAGACAGTGAAAGAAGTCCCACTCTCAAAAACAGAATAAAAATATCTTTTGACTTTAGAACTGAATGGATTCCTGCTTAGCATAGTGACATCAGGGGCTTATACAGGTAAACACAGATTACATTACTCTTGGCAAGTACCAAGGAGCAAAGAAAAGTCCAAGTGTTCTACTATATTTTTACACACAATTAATCAGTCTTTGCTAAGGTATCTTATTACAGGCCCATGGCTTGTTAATGCATATGTTTTATCACCAAACCTGATAAACAGAAGACTAATTCACCTTTTCAGCTGGTCATTCAAGCCTGGCACGTATTTCACGTGATAAATTCATTGCCTAAAACTCCAGTTGCTTACAGCCAAAAAAAATCCCAACTGCTTGACTAAGAGCTGCAGAATTTGCCTATTTTAATATTACAGTATCTATCACCGAAATATGAGGGATAATATATTTTACAAGCATCTATCCAGAAACTCATTGACAGTACTATTTGGCACAAACTAAATTTCAATTAAGTTATTCTTGTATACAGACCAAAATAACAAATGCATTTGTCAGCTTTTATTTAAAAAAAAGAGATTTACTACTAAATTTGTTTTGTATTCTGCCCTTTTCAGGAGTAAAAGCTCTGGAAAAATCACCAAGAATGGCAAATCTTAGCAGTCCCTAGGTTTTGGCTTTTTTTTTTGCCAGAACCAGGAAGTGAGCTAAAGGGCTGAGAGAAATTCTACTCCCTCCTCCTGTTTTGCCCTGCCCATACAGTGCTGGACTCTAGGGAAATCTGTTGAAGGTGGTGAGGAGCTGGTTGCCTTCATGCTGCAGTCCCCACAGCTCAGTGATCAGCCAACTCCTTGCTATATTTAAGAAAAGCTTCCCTGAATAAATGAGTGAAAGATAGAAAGCTTAGAGGAGAAAGGCTTAACACACCCAAACACTCACAGCTCTAGCCAACGGTACTCATCCACCAGCCTTAGCACCCGTTCCTCTTCAACACTCCACCCAGAAAAAGGCAACTCTGCCGTTCTGCAAATTGTACTGTTTAACTCTTGAAAAAAAAAAAAAAGCCTAGAATGGGGGTCCAGGATAAAGAGAATATGAAAAGCCACATTTTAAAACACTTGTATCACTTTGGAGGATTACTAACTGGCTGCTGACAAGCTTTCCTTTTGGGGAGAAAACAGTCTCTTAGAACTAGGTAATGGATTCTGTTCAGAAATGGTGTAATGTTGATGTGTCCTCATAATAATTAACTATGATGGATCCTTATAGTAATTAACTTGAAGTGTCTACCTGTCCTGCTCTGCCAGCACTAAATGGCAGATAGTGCCTTGTCAGGGCACTTACATCATGCAGACTTTAGGGGCAAGGCTCCCTTCCCTGGCAGACGCTCTGGGGACGATGTTTCTACTCTTCTGAGGCACAACTTAAAGGAGGGATGTAATTTGCAACTTCTCTGCCACTGAAGATGAATGTAGCTATCATCTCTGCTAACTAAAACTTGTGATTAATGAGTATATGCCAACCATCAGAGACAGAGATGTCTGTTATACCTTATACTGTAGCATGTAGCTTCTCATTCAAGGCATGCATACCAGAACCACTTACTTTATCATAATAGTTTTCTCAACCATTTAAACCATGAGACATCCTTCTAAAGAAACGCCTTCAGCAGCAGACTGTGGTATCCCTTAGTTTATTAATTAATTCTTTCAGCCCAGATTCAATATCTATATAACAGAAATTCTGCTTTAGGTCTGCAAAGTAAAGGTTTTCCTCCATTAGTGTTAAAATTCCACTCCTTCCCTTCACTTAACAATATTCCTCTTGCATTTTTTAAAAACATTTTTCATTATATATGTTGTAGGCCAAGACAAACCAGAAAGCTACTGCTTATGGTCAGATACAGAGGGCATCTAAGGTGAAATCCATTCCAGCACCATGTAAACTTCACAGTGTAAATTCCAGGTCAGACAACATATGCTGAATATATGTAAACTTAAGAAGAAGCTGAAAATCCAAGCAGTAGCATTCTGGCAGATCATCTGAAAGAAAGTTTCTGGCATGATATAAGCTGACTAAGAACAGCAGACTGGTGGTTTGCTTGTTTTTAAATTATAGGAATAAAAACAGTTGTGTGACTTCCTGTGCATTTTTAGACCTTCCCAAAGTCAACCCCCTTTCCCCTGACTGAAAAAAAGACAACCCACACTTCATTTTAAATGTTAGGAATTGTATCATCTGGTTGCTAAATGTAATCTCTGCAATATTAACTGCAGACGCTCACTGAGTTTCTGCGGTGTTAACTACAGATGTTCATGGAGATTTTCACAGAGGCAGTACTGCAGCAGAGAGAATTTTGTGAACAAGAGGTATAGTAGCTGTGCTTGAATAGTCTTTGTCTTTTCATTTTCCAAAACACAATGCAAAGCAGTTTGAATTTCATTTAAAGGTTTAAAGCTTGTTTGTATTGAATTACATTAGTATAGTTGAGTGTGCTCATTTTGCCATTAATTTTGAGGAAAGATGATGAATTTGTTTCCATTAACACTACTGGGAATTAAGCATTAAGTAGTTCTATCACTGAAGTGATAACTTCAGCCTTCAGGTTACCCTTAGAGGTTAGTATCTGTTTTAAGATGCCTCTCTCCCTAGTAGATTTCTGTCCCTTCTCCTCCACTTTCTGATCCCAAGCAAAATTTTCAAAATAATTAATCAAACCCAATATTTAATTTTTTCTCCTTGAGCTGTTAACTGATGATGGCACCATTACCCAGTCCAGTGGCAAATTTTTTTAGTGCTGACTGACTTACAAATAAAAGGCCTCTAAATTTGTAGCTAAGCAACTAACCTTTTGGTAAAATACATTTAGCATCAAACAGAAACTAGAAAATCTGCTTTGATATGGCTCTTGCCTTCTTGAAAAATACATAGTACTATATAGGCATTTTAACAAAAAAAAATACTTATCTGAATGACACTGTCCAGTTAAGAACACTTTTTCTTTAAAAAAAAAAAACCCACCTTTTTTCTCAGTAATACTGTTAGATTATTAAAACTGAACATGCTAAAATTAAATATACTTTACACATAATTTGTAGTTTAAATTTCAACTTGGACAATGCAAAAAGATCATAACAATTCAAAAAGATTAAAGTTTCCTGTTCTGTCTGGTCAATTTTACTTCCTGCTACTATCTTACTGCCATTTTAAAATAGTTTTCTGAAACCATTTTTAGTATTCTTTTTAAAACAATTTTATCAACAATTAATTTTTGGATCCAAACTGTTTAGCAATTTCCCTTTAATTAATCAGGGAACATATCTTACACATTTAGTCAAGTGAGAGTATCCCATTGGTATTTTAAGACTAACTTGTTACTAACTTTTGTTGAGCGCTCCAGTGGTATAATGAAAACCCTTTAGCTTTACTCAAGAAAACTCCTCATGGCTGCAAGTAAAAGATGGCAACATATTAAAAGGACTCCTTCAGCACTGTTGTATTATCTGCACGTATTTAAAATGTCATGCAAAACTTTTTGGAATTATTTGGAAAAAATAACTGTGTTCTTGAAATAGCTCCTTTTAAATTAATAATTGGCAGTTTTAACTTACTTATTTCCACGCCAAGGGTAATGAAATCACACCATAGATTGTCCAGTGCAAAATATTCTAGGAAGTTGTTTGAAATTATAGTGACTGCAACATGCATCCAAGCTGTGTTTCTTTCAATTACTCACCCCATTTAAAACAACTGAAAAATGGAAGTGATGCTTCATTCTTCTCTAGAGGATGGTTTCTTTCTCAATACAGTCAGGAACTTCACATTCAACCATGTCTAGAAAATCCTTATTGCCATGAAGTCTCTCACTTCCCCACAAGTAAGTAGGAGTCATATTAAGTCATTATTTAGCAGAGTGCTGACATCAATGGCAACCTCAGTTTTAAAATCTGTGAAACTACTTCCTTATTTGGGGTTGCTTTCTCTATCTTAGTGGCACATCATCTGCATGATTGCCCCATCCAGTCAGCAAATGAGAGCAACTGATCATCCATAATAATGGCAAAGTCAGAATGGAGGGAGTAAAATAACATTTGTAGATATATATATCATAGATATAGTTGGTATGTATTTTTCCCCACTTCCATCCACTGCGATCAAGGCTTTTGGCTCACCAGGACATTTTAACACTAATCCAGAAATTGCTGAGAGAGGTGTGCTCTCTTATTTTTTGACTGGAGTATAATCGATTCCTGATGCACTCCACTGAATCAGCTATTAAGCATCGGGAAAATGATAGTTTCTGTAGTGCATTATGTTAGGATTGTACCATGCAATCCAGCTCTAAGGAGCTGGCGGGTACAATATAGAAATGTTGCCTGAGACATTGCAGTCTCTTGTACTGTTGTCTACAACTAATGTCCTGGCTTGCCTGAAACTAAAACTAGTTAATTCTTAAAAAGAACAAGAAGTAGAAGCTACTTAAGCCTTTTAAATCATGCTAGCTCAAAAATGTAATTGTAGCAGTTGAGCAGCTGTTACAATACAAAATGGTAGTCACTTACAGTGGGTAGGTCCTGAAAAATAAAATTGGAGTATGCCCTTAATAATGTAATGGCGGTCATGGAATAACGTACTGGAGTGAAAGTAGAGTTGAAAGAGCAGAGACAGAAAATGGTGTAAGAGAGAAGCTGTTTTGACCTTTGTGAATCGCACATTGAAGAGCATGCTGTGCAGTGTATAAGCAGTTGCTGACAGAAAAAGGGAAGACTACTGTCAAGTGAGGCCTTGGGAAGCCATCTCAAAGAATGCACTTGATGAAAAAGTACCACACATCTAGGTTAGCTGCAGTATAAAATAATTTTAGCCAAGAAGTATTAAATCTTTATAATCTAACCTGAGGGATCATTAGGCTTAATCTGTTGTTTATTGAACTATCATTGGGATAATGGAGCCTTGTAAATAAAGGAAAGGTTGTTCTGGTGCTGAAAAGTTATTTTATTTTATAAGTAATTCATGTTATGCTCATTACTGAATATGTTGGTAAGCGAAACTGTATCTGATAAGAAGCTATTTAAACTATCGTTCCTGATGGTAACTTTCATTTGAGAAATCATGGGCTGAATCCTGAAACCTAACTTAGTTTTTAATCAGTCTTTAGCTGATGGATTGATTGAGTAGTTGATTTTGTGCTTTGCTTCTACAAGAACCATGAAATTTTACAGAAAACTTTCTGCTAACCTGGGCCTCCTGCAAAGTTTCTTTTCAGGAGGGTGATACTAAATTAATGATGGTATTTCTGTCATCTTCAGTGAGCTTTGAATCAGATTCAGCAATATGGATCCTGACTGGCACTCCACTGACAACAGTGGGACGTATCCTGAGTAAGGACTTGAGAAGGATTTAAGGATTTAGCTCATTGTCATCTAAATAAAACCAGTAGACAAAGCTTGACTATAGTAGGGGGTTTTTTTTATTATTTAAAAAAAAAAAAAAAAAAAGGACTCCTTGCAAGTTGCCCTCTTCAACAAGCTAATTAAGCTGGTCAGAGTTTCACTAATTGGAAAAAGGACTGTATGATTGATTGTCGTGTTTCAGCAGTTCCATGCAGCAGGACATCATTATGCACTGAGCCTCTAACACTCAGGAAACTGCAGTTTTTTGTCAGCATTGCAGATGGGAACTGAGAAACAATTAAGGTATTGTAAATTAAGTACATGAATCATCTTAAGAGCATTTTTTTGGTATTCTGTTTCTCCCTGGATTGGAATGACAGCCTCACAGGCATCCTTGAGCCTGGATCAGCGGTTGCTGAGTTGTATGTATGGAGGCCTTCAGTTTAGGTGGCTGAACATTGCCACCTGCAACAAATGGTCTGGGGAGAAGAGGAAATTATAGTATCAGAAAGTGCTGTGAGGAACCCTGGAACCCCACGGTGTTCAATTAACTTGTCCTTTCTAGGCTCAAACGAGCACAGTTTTGGTTGTTAGCAGTCTCTCTGAAAGCACACAGGCTTACAAGATTTTATAATGGGGATGCAGGCATCCAGAATCAAGCAGGTATATAGGTGCATCTCCCTCACTTTTGATGAAGTGTTACTTGATATAATTTTATACCAGTTCTTTGTTTTTAAAAGATTTCCGGCACTGTAAAAACAATAGAGTGCATATTTATTTCTAAATTTTAAGTAGAGCATGTGATGTATTTTTTAAGCCTTTCCATACTTTTTGTTGTGTTCACAAAACTATATCAAATGCAATACCAATTTTTTCTACCTTTCTACAAGCTACATTAAGTTTAATCTGAATTTAGCATGTCTTACACAGAAAAAATGAGGATAAACGTGCTTCAAGCATTAGAATGATGCATATCTTTTTCTCTATTTTGCATTGTATCACTTGTATTTCATTCTCCTTTTAGAGTCAAAGAGAGCAGATAATGAAATGTACTCTGTATTACATGATTGGCACTTCATAGTGCTTCTGTTTGAGGAATGTACTATAATGTTGAACTCGCAGAACTGCATAATTATCTTCTCAGTTGGATACCTGACGTGTTGTTTTTCCTATTATTCATGAAATGCATTGAAGGAAAGATTTACTGTGTACAATTTTATTTTATTTTCATACTGATCTCTATTTTATTTAAAGTCATGTTTCATCATGAAATCACTTAATCTGAATAAATCTTCTTATAAAATCTAATTTGGAAATTAACTTTTCTGCTATGTCCCTGAATGGTTTTTGGCCTCATTTCTAAAAAAAGAGCATTTCTCAATTGTGAATTGTTCTATATTATATCCAATAGATTTAAGCCTTTAGAACACCCGAATGATCCTATGGCCTTCTAGCATCATCTTATAGCATTCTTCCCAAGGACTGGAAAGTTTAATGTAATTAACACTAAAATTACGGAAACAGAAAGAATCTACAATCCCATATGTCTTATTTTAAACATAATCAATATTAGAAACAAAGGCGATGACATTAAAATTGACAAGGATCAACACCAAAAAATCACCACTATGAGAAGTACTCCTGCTTTATTAATGCTTTTACCTTTCTGCAGAGGATCAGGCCCTGCAAGCGTACACTTTATTTGTAACAATTCAGATGGGAAAACATTTTCTTGGGCATAAATCACTGGGATAATATGCATTTTCATAGCAATGCTTCAGATCATAAGAAATATCTTAAATCTCCATAATCAGTAGTCTAGGACTGTATTTTGGCATAGGATTTGCTGAGCTGCACTTGAACAATTGGCCTCAGCATAACAAAAGTAAATGGTCCCATGCCAAATAATTAGTTATAAAAGGAAAAAGAATTATGTTAGTTCTAGTAATAAATATTGTCCATTATTTAGCAGAACCTATTTTAGAGTTTTGTGCAGTAGGCAATCACCCTTTTATGTCTGGACTGGTTTGATGAACCTCTGCCATATTTTATATTATTCTTTTTATATATTACTTTTTATTAATTTAATTTTAAGGTAATTTTCCTTTTACCTTGGAATGATGCCTTTGGAAGGAATTCTTGGTATTGCAAGGTCTAGGTCTAGAGAAAGCCTGAAGCGCCTGGAAGACTGATATCCTTTAGATTAGTTTAATATTCTCATTTAGATTCAGTTCTTGGATTCAGATTTATGGAAGTTTCATCCAAATAAGTGGTATTTAACTCACTGTGGTGAGGAATTGTTAATTTTCCCCGAGTGTCTAGACAAGACTCGGACTAAACTCAGTTAAGACTAAGGTGTACTACCAGGCTCAAAACAAAAACTTGGTGAAATATGGAAGCTGTATTTGCCAGCTCATTTGAGGAGGTTTGCCTGCCTTTTGTTATGAAAGTTCACATTATAGGTGTCTTGAGGGAACCTTGGTTTTTCTGGCTGCAAAGATGGCAGCAACGAGCAAAAATGCTTTTTACCAACTGTGACTTTCGTTTTGGATGCAGACTTTAACAGTTATCAGTGAGTATGTCTTCTTCAGAATAGATTATTGTAATCATAGAAAAATAAGCATTTGGTGGTACCTCAGCAGGTCATCTAGTCCAAACCCCTGCTCAAAGCAGGGCCATCCCCAACTATATCATCCCAGCCCAAGCTTTGTCTAGCCGGGTCTTAAAAACTTCCAAGGATGGAGATTCCACAACCTCTCTGGGTAACCTGTTCCAGTGCTTTGCAAAAGACTCCTATTATCTATTCTAAACTTCCCTTGCTGCAACTTGAGACCAATCTACCACTGAGAACAGTCTAGCTCTATCCTCTTCGGAACCACCCTTCAGGTAGCTGAAGGCTACCGCTAAATCTGCCCTCAGTCTTCTCTTCGTTGGACTAAATAAGTCCAGTTCCCTCAGCTTCTCATCAGAAGTCATGTGCCCCAGCCCTCTAACCATTTTCGTTGCCCTCCCCTGGACCCTCTCCAATTTGTCTACATCCTTTCTATAGTGGTGGGCCCAAAACTGGACAGAGTACTCCAGATGTAGCTCATCAGTGCTGAATAGAGGGAAATAATCACGTCCCTCAATCTGCTGGTAGCGCTCCTACCAATGTAGCCTAGTTTGCTGTTAGTTTTGTTGGCAACAAGGGCACAGTGTTGGCTCATATTCAGGTTATTGTCCACAGTAACTCCCAAGTCCTTTTCAGCAGTAATCTCCTCTAGTTCCAGAAACCCACAGGGTAGTGGCTACCCACTTATTAGGTTATTTAATGTTTTCACTTGGCATTTGGGATCTGAGCTGACAAGTGTCTTGATATGTTCAGGAGATGGGTATTCTCAAGAGAAGTTTCCGATCTAGAACTTACTTGTTCATCTCAGCCCCACACAGAATTAGAAGGCCAGATTGCATCCCCTTGCCTGTCTGTGTTTGTGTGGGTGGTGGGGTCTCACTTCAGAGAAAGACAAAGCTTTAAATTCCACCTGCAGAAGATATACATAGAATCGGCATGTATTTCTGCCATCCGAGCTGTGCCTGCTTTAGGTTGAGCTGGGAAGCCAAACATGCTCTTCTCCCTCCCACCCCACAAGCAATGCAGTAGCTATGAGTGGCTTGCTGCAGTGGTTGTTGGAGTGATCCCCTTAATGGAGTTATTTTTTTACCTGAGGGCTTCTGCTCTAGCACTGCTGATGATGGTCCTGTGTTGGGGAATATTACAAATGGGTTGAAAAAGTGTTTTTGATTGGAATGGATTGAATTAACATGAAGTATTACTTATTATCCTCTATATTGGTTAAATTATTCATGATTAGAAAATAAAAAGATAAACTGGCCATCAGGGGTATAAATAACTCTCCAATGAGAGGGAGTTAAACACTTAAGGGAACACTTAAAGGAACTTCAATTAAAACTATATATTCCCTCAACAGGACAAGTTATTTATGACCATGGCTGAAATACTTCATTTGCAAACACCTTTTAACAATTTCAAAGTCAATATGATGATATATTTGTGGGCCACAATCAAAGAGCTCAGTTATATATATTTTCCATATCCTAGATCAGTGGTTTTGATCCTTTTTTTCATTTGTGGACCTCTAACCATTTTTTAATGGATGTGCGGACCCCTTCGGAAATTTCAAATGGAGGTGCGGAATTGTAAGTGTGGGCATTCATATACTTTAGACGGATCATAGTCATCTTTTGCAGACCCTTTAGACACGGTTTGTGGGCCCTCAGGAGTCTGTGGCCCACAGGTTTTAAACCACTGTGCTAAATGGTTTCACAATGTTTAGGGCTAAACACCCATGTTAACATGGCTTGTTAGGCAAACAGCAAAGCTGTCTACTGAAAGGGTTGGCTTCTGGTTGACCTAGGACCCACAGTTTTGTCTCTTCAGTCTGATTTGTGGTAACCCAGGAGTAAACAAGGTTGACATCAGCATTGCTTGAAGAAATAAAGCATTTTCTTTAAAGGCATCTTTCCTGAAAGACCAACATGCCCAGAGAGCATTCACTGCTGTTGACCTGTTTGCCAAATGGATACAGATCTAATGGAAGTGGATCCCTTTGAAAAAGCCTCAGAAGAATGCAAAAAGCCAGTATTGTAAGGATAAATAAAAGAAATCAAGAAAAAATGTAATATAGTGATATAAATGAGCAGTGATGTTAATGCTTTCCTATATCCATGAGGTTTAGATTATAAATAACAATTAATAAACTTCACCCTCAATTTTAGTGTAATAACTTAACTACATTTAATTTTTAAAACCAAGTATCCAGATACAGGCAAAATTGTCATTGTATTTCATGATCCTGTACTGTTGCAACCTTCATCCTCCCATTCCCCTTCCCCGCCCTTTGTTTATTATTCCCTGAAATAGTATCTAATTAAAATACCAAAGTCCTTAGGCAGAGTCTTGGCAATTACATTTTTTTTCTGTAAAGTGCCATGCATGCCTCCGTGGCATTGTATACACAAATAATCCATATTAAACTAATATTTCTATGTCCTTGGTCTTTAAAAGTGTTTTTTGTTTTGTTTTTTATCTTTCAGTACTGAGAAGCAGAGCAATTCTAGTCCTGAGAGGATATTTACCGTGTCACAAACAGCCAAACAGAAAAACAAGAACTGTCATTTATTTTTTGGCATCATGTTCTATAATAACCTAAAGCATCTTAATTGCATCCATCTTTTAATTTCCATCCTGTGGACTATTTGGTATGTTTGGAATGCTGTTTACTTTTCATACTGTGCTGAGAATGCTTCTAATCAAAGGAGTCCCTTCCACACATTGTACGTTTCTATTTTGTTTGGCAAAACTACTTGAAATTATTTATAATGAAGGATACACATAGGTTGGAACTTTGTAAGGACAATATAGCTCTGGGAGGAACCTAGTAAAGATCTTAGACTACGATAGTGAAAAATCTCTGTTGGTTACAGCTCTGAAATCTAGATGCAAGGTCATAGGAAAATGTTTTGCTTTATAATACTAATGTAAGAAACAAAGACACTTCAGAAAACTTTTTCAACTTATCAAAATTCTGGGAGTATGTTTTGTGTTTTTTTTACTTCGGTTGCCTATTTTTGGTCCTAAAGTAAATGTTGGCTCCACAGGATGACTTTGTCCCTAGTATTTCCCAGGTATGTAGCTAATAATGATTTCATTTTGCAGTACTAAAGTTAATTGCACAATAACCTTATCTGTGCTGAAAATAAGCTAAAGAAAACAATGAAGTAGTTAGCCCATTTATTACTGGTTTTTAAGATCTTAGACTACTGTATTTTAATGGTACTGCTTTTATATCAGATGTAGACCAAAATGAAGGTTTGTTTGGAGCACAAGCTTGGATTGCCGTCTCTCATGAAGAGAGCTCAATCTGGCAACCAATTAAGCCAGTCACAGCTATTATAGAAATCTTTTAAAGATTCAGCTGGTTTCAAAAAGCCTTTTGGCAACTGCATATGATCAAAAAGGCTCTCTGAAACTGAAATAAAGCATTAAATCTTCAGCTGTATTTAAATATTCCTCAAACAATTGTCTATAAAGCCTTAGTCACCATGTAATATTAAAAATAGGCCTTTCAAAAAAATTCCTATATGAAAATACTAATGCAAAGTAATAGCTCTCTTCCTGTTTGAAATGTGCGGATAGCTCTAACTTCTATTCCATACAAGTAGCAACGGTAGAAGACTAATCACTCACAGGGGGTCACTCATGCAAGCATATTTGTCAGTAAAGATTTGTTAGGGACCATGGAGTATTCTTGTAACTCTCTGTCTCTTTGGTATATTGTTTAGAGTACATCAGTGAGGATCAAAGTCAAATTCAGCCAGTCTTGCTATGCACATATAAAATTTATTAATATGGCTAAATCCAGTCCCCATGTGAGATGTATGGGTTTTCTGGCCTGTCAGACATACAGTATTATTGCAAATAAGGAAGCGAACATTGACCTCTGGTACCTTCCTTGCATAAACAATACACCCAAATATAAATCGGAAAGTCCACACCACTAAAAAATTTGCTCAGATGAGGCATTGCATGATTCTTGACCTACAAATGGTATGCCAGGCATATTCTAGTATCAACAGTAAATTGAATAATTCTTCAATATTATCAACTTATTTTTCCCTTGGTCTAATACTCCAACCTGTCATTTGCACACCATATTGCTAAGCCTTGTTCAGATACTAAGATTACAAAACATTGGTTTACAAAAGAATCTTATCATATACCTGAGTACAAAGTAGATCTGCTCTCTGTTTGTAGAGGACTTTAGTGTATTGCTACAATCTATGCAGCAGGTAGGAAGGAGTGGAGAAGTTCTGCTCTCAGCACCTCAGGCTTTGTAAATGTGGCCAGCACCTGCTATAGTTGCACACTGTGGACTAGCCAATGCGGACAAGATTTATTGCGGTCACTGGCTCTAGCTTTTCTTCTTGAGAGAAGGGAAGCTATGTCAGCTTGAAATGTTTTTTGTTTCAACGTTTATGCTCCTATTTCTTCATGGTTAAAAATATGAAGGGGGGCTACAGAGGCTGGTGGAATGGGGGACGTATGATGTGTCTTAATGTTCTTCCCATGTGGGCAGCAGAGCCACAGCGACTAACTACGCTAGCTGAGGAACTGGCCTGCACTTTACTGCTTACGTTAAAACAACTCCATGAGCCATTGCTGCTTCCCCTTTTCTCTGCGAGGGCTGGAGAATGGTGCCTGCGCCGTGGCACTACTCAGTCCCAGCCGTGCCAGCGTGCAGAGCTTGTACTTTCTTTGGTTCTGGGTATGACCCTAAACTGCATCCGACTGAAGGGCTTGGTGGCAATGTGATGGGCAACTCCTGGTGGGGGTAGCGCCTATAAAATACCATAATGTTGCAACCGCCGGAGTTATAGGGCATCTCCAAAGCCCAGCCGCCAAGGCCTTGCGGGTGCTCCTTGGGTGGAGAAAGGCTAAGGGCCGTCCCCCTGACAGAAGGCGCCCGGCCGAGGCGGGGGCAGCAGCTCTCATCCGTTGCTCTGACAGAAGCTGCGGCCACGGAGGCGCGGCACGCCTGGGCTCGCTCCGGCCGGCAGGCTGTGGCGAGACGCTGTCGGGGGGTCGGTGATGGCCACATCCCCCTCCTACCCGGAGCAGCAGGGCTGCCTACACTCCCTCCGCAGATCTCGTCGGTCGGGCGGGGCTGGCCCCGCAGCCCTCCCCCTCGGGGGCTGCCTGGGCGTGAGCGGTGCGTGGAGGGGGCGGTAGGAAGGTGTGCGGGGGCTGGGGGCAGCCCGGTCTTTGCTCCCACCGGGAGCGCTGCCCTGTCGTCGGGCCCCAGCCCCTGGACCAGGCTGCCCCCGCACCGGGCAGCGCTGCGAGGTGTCACTGAGCCGCCCCTTTCCTCGGCCTTCTTGCCCCTCCCTCCTCCGCTTCCTTTCGCGGGGCGGGGCCGGACCCTGCC